AAAAAAAAAAGCAAAAAAAAGAAATGAACCAGTCTTTTAATAAGGCCACTCTCTGTAAGACGTTATTATTTTTTCTTTTTTTAATGGTGTAGGTAAATTTACATCTTCCCCAGCAGGGGGCAGTCAAGCAACAGATAAAACTCCTTCTCTATAAAAGAAGCAACTTTAGGGAGTTACATTTGTTTGACTACACAAGAAAGAAAATTGAAAAAAATAAAATATTACATAAAATATATTTTCTTATTGAATTAAAGCAAGTTTAATTCTACAAAACTAACCTACATAGCAGGAAATCAGGGACTACAGTGGCTAGTGTTGGAAATTATTTGCAGCATAGCAGATTCAGATTTCATATTACGAAGACAGACTCATCTGTGTTCATTAAAAAAGAAATAGGAAACTCTTAAAGAGCTCGTGTCATTTCCAGTGTTTCCTGATAAATCCCACATCGGAATCAATGAGCTATTTAACAAAATATCACTGCTATATTACTTAGTCTTAAGCAAGAGTCGGATCATCTGGAACCAGAATAAATACAGGAAAGTCAGCAACCTTCAGCCACACGAAGTGCTCAGTGCTCATCACCCTGAAAGACAAAAATTATTATTATTTTTTTGTGTGTGTGTGTTTTAAATCTCTGTTTATTAACACTTATCCTCAACCTATAAGCAATTACATGATATCCTCCAGCTCTATGAAGCTAATATAAGAACAATAAAGCATGAAGCCTGTAATTAAAACTGCAAAAGAGGCTCCAGGAGCTTTAGAGGCCAAGTGAGGATTTTGTTATTTTTTTTAATCCTTAAGCAAGTAAAAATGTAACTGAAAGTAAGATCTTTATTCTTGTCATAAAAGAAAATAGAAAACTGTGCTCAACTAAGGTAAACTCATAGCAGAGTAGATACTGACCCCTCCACAGCAGTCCCCGCACAGAGCTCCCAGCAGGCCGTTTATCACCTGAAAAGCACACAGCGCCACCTGGATCAGACCCATGACCAGCAGCACAGAGAAGAGAGACAGATGCCAGGGCACCACGCCCGCTGGCTCTTGACACACACTATCCCTCAAAGTTGCGTTGCTTAGGTAGTCTCTGTAGAGAAAGGGTTAAAAAGAAAAGAGCAAATATGTGAGATGTGTCGTGAGCCACAGTTTACCTTAAGATACAAGAGACAAGTGCAGCAAAGGTAGCACTAATACACTTCGACTCTTAAATGTTCAATTTAAGTTTACTTAAAATAAACAGCAGTGCCTACACTGTCATTGGCACAGAATTCTTAGTGTTTGGCTCTTAGCAAATCAGTTGCCAGATTTAGTGTGAAGCCCTTTTACAAGACAGTATTTGTATGTCTCTCTGTTTGTGTCATGCATCTGTACTGCAAACAGAATCCCCAAACAGGTCCCACACTATCTGAAACGGAGTCTTCACTGATCCCTGAGAATTGGAGGTGCTACAAATTTAGTCTGTATGTATTCCAAATGCTTTCATGTGTACCCAGCTGAAAGAAAGGACATGCTGATCATTCCGTTGCTATGGACAGAGTGATAAAAAAACAAACTACTGAACACATTTTAACACTTGATTATTCTCTATGTCTCACCCATTGGAGAAGGGATAGCCCCAGTCGAGTGTGGTGCTGTTTAAAAAAAAGGAACACTTAGGTCCACGGTTGATGGCCACCGCTGAGACTATAACTGAGTAACCGGCACCAACAACACCAATACCTGCAAACAGCATCGAACTCAACATCTGCAGAGAGAGAGAGAGAGAGTGGGGAGAAGCATGGTCAGTTACTCATACTGAGAATCAAAACATTTAACAATGTCCCTTTAAGCTTCTTAAAATAAGACATCAATGAAGTTATTGTGTTAGTATCCAGAGGCCGTGCTCAAGGCCAGGTGCACAAAGTAACACTTGCACACATTCCTGAAGTATCGATCAATTGCGTGACCCTAACAGTACAACGCAGGCTCTGTGCTACACAGCTGTGCGGGGTGTGTTACCATGATCGAATTTGTAGTACTTTATGGGAAGGTGTGGGTGCGTGTTTTCCCAATTTATTGCTGTGTAAATCATGAGGGGATGTGTGTACATAGTTCATCTGTGTTTGTTTTCCATTACACGCTCAGAGTATCTCAACGCTGAAGTTAACAGGTGACTGGTAGACCCTCAAGCATAATACCTCTAATATAAATGTTGTTTTTAATAGTTTTAAAACTGTTAGGAGGAAAAAAAATCCCAAATGACAAAGAAAACTTTGAAGACCCTTGTCCTCAGAGAACAGAGGTCTAACATTTCTGCCTAGACTGGAATTTTTAAAAATCTAATTTTCACATTCCTTTTAATTTAGATTAATGCCCAATTAATTGCATCAACTTACAGTAACATTTGAAGACATTTCCGATCACATTTGTGCACTGGGTCATGCTCTAGGTAGCAATTATCTAATGCAGCTGTATGCTGTATATATATTTGAGTGCCTTTTCAGTCTTGTTAAATGTGTGTGTGTTTTTGCCTCCACGG